GGTTCTTGGCGTAGCCTTGACCCAAACATCTAACCCACCATGACCACCATGGAGGGACTGGGAAGTTCAAAAGCCAGGGAGGGAGGAGGGCTGGAACCACCCCCAATTATAAGAGCTGTTTCTACTCAGATATTACGTTTTTCTACTCAGATGCAAGGTGCCCCCCAAGAGCTCAAGTGTAAGACCACGCAAGAGTTCAGAGGTGAGGTGACTGGGTCCTGACAGCCTTAACCTCATCCGTGGATTAACCTGCTGATACAAATCAACTGGGTGGTAATGAAGACTGGCAGGGTGTGGCTGGAGGAGGTGGTCTCAGAGGTGTGCCTTGGGGGCTCTATGTTGTGAGCTTCCTGGTGTGATGTTCTGAGGTGCTTTCCTCGCCATGCCCTTCCGCATGATGTCCTGCTCCACCCACAGCCTACAGCTCTGAAGGCAGCTCTCTATGGACTAAGACCTCTGACACTGTGAATGCCAAATAAACTTTTCCTTCTCTAAAGTTGTTCTCATCAGGTCACAACAGTGAAAAAGCTGACCAAATACCAAGTGATCCATTTCTTCTAAAAGAAGAAAAGAAAAAGTGTTTGATCAAGAACCCAAACAAACAGAAAACATGTTAGGTGAGGTTCTGACAGCACCATAAATGCCAGAACCCAGCCCCTCCCTCAACCCCACCCATGTTACTTTGTGAGTGCTGCTGGCTGGGATGCAAGTCCCAGTTCTCTGACCCCCGGCCTTGACCCCTGCCTGCATCCTGCCCTCCCACCGGCAACCAGAGTTGTCCCAGGAGAATCTGATCCTGAAGATGGGGCAGGAGGGGCCTGTGGGAAACAGCTGGACACAACAGTGTTCCTGTGCACCAGAAACCGCTCCTTGCATGCCCAGCCACAAGGAAGTACTACTCTGCAGAAATGAGACCCTGGCCCAGCTGATTCTAAAGTGACCTAAGAATCAGCTCCTGTGAGGCAACTGATGGTCAGACACAGGGTTCTGCTATGGACACAGCTGCCATTCATCCAGGAAATCTTAATTCCTCTCAATGACCCACTAGCCAATGTCCTGACCTATGAGATATCAGACTTAATCTCAGTCTTTCCATATCCTGGAAAGGGCCTTGTCTCTCTTGTGATGATTTATCTGGATCTGTCCTTTCTTTGGCAAACTTAGGGTACTAGACGATGTGCCTCTTCCCACAGGATGACCTGGGTGGGTGGTTTGCCTGCTTACAGGAATCTGAAGTTCACAAGGACCATTCCCTACTTATGCTGCAAGGGAAGTTCACATGTGGCTTTATTGCTTTCCTTCTTGATTTATACAGTTTCTTGGAGGCAGTGTAAAACAATTCAGATTCAGATGTAATCCTGGAATATCGAATTCACTTTTGAAGGATACCTTTGGTGGATATAGACTCCAGGGAAACAGTTACATTCTTTCTGGATATTGAAGATACCCTCAGGTACATTCTATTGAGAAGTCAATCTCAATAAACAGCTATTTTTAGGGAAGCATTATTCTTCTCTGATTGATTTGAGAATTTCTGTGCTTAATTAAATTCACTTTGATGAATTTCCATTAATTCTCCCCAGGATTCACTGGCCTCTAGAATCTGTGAACTTCCATAATTTTGGAAAGCGGTCATTCATCATTTCGTCACTCTTTCCTTAGTTCTAAAACCCCATAAATATATATCAGACTTTCTAATTACATCCCTACACTGCTTACTTTCTGCATTCTCATGTTCTTAACTCTCCAAGTTTCACTGGGCTATTTTCCTCTAACCCATTTTCTAGTTCACCAATTTTCTCATTAGCTGTGTCTAATGTGTTAAGCTTGTCTGTGGGATTTTTATTTTTGGTTACCATGTCTTTTAATCCCAGAAAGTGTTTTGGGTGATTTTTCAAATCTCTTATGCAAAAATCATATGGTCACCTAGTCCCTGCAGATACTTTCAAACTTCTTTCTTCATACATAGGAAGCACAGTGGTTTTATAGTATGTGCCTAAGGATTACAAAAGCTCAGGTGGACCTGGCTTGTTATCTGTTTTCTCTCGCTTAAGGAGTCTTGAATGTGCAATCAAGGTCATTTCATTTGAAAAGAAAATATTTGTAGGAACAATTTAAGTTCTGGGGACTCCCTCCTAAAAAGAGGTTGTTTTTACTTTTCACAAGCCTTCTGAGGAACTCCAGTCCAGAAACTCCACAACCCTGGTCCTACACTGCCTGAACTAGAGGCTATGGGAGTCCTGAGAGCTGAGTGGCTGGCACCACAACCCACATCTCACCTTTCCAGCTTTCAGGAAGTAAAGGGGCATTTGCTGATTCCCTATTCTAAGTAAGCCAGGTTTTACCAACTTGCCCCAGAAGACTGCCCAAACTACAACACCCTTTAGGGTTATTCTTTCAGCCTGGGTGCTGTGCTTCTCTCCTGAGGTTCAGGTACTGTGTGGTCCAAGAAGTGCTTGTTTCCTTCATAGCAGTTTGATGATTTTTAAGAAACTTCTTTTCTTTTGTTTCCCTTTTTGTTTGTTTGACAGCTCTTAGTTATTTTCAATGGGAAATTTGGTTGGAATTATCTGGTCTGCGTCTCTGAAAGTAGAAATTCCTCCTCTTACCTTGTCCTCTAATTCTAAATTACATGGCTCCAGTCACCATCTCTCATTATGTGGGAAACTCCAATTTCTGCCCCAAGATTACAGGGGAAATCCTGGACTTCTCACCAGCCAGCTGCCCCTCCTGCAATGGTCTCTGCTCCCCACCCAGTGCCAACAAAAGGCCCCTGCCCACTCCTACCACACGGCTTCCATGAGGAACAAAACTCTCTTCCTTCAGGCACCACACCTTCATGTGCACAGAGCCCTAGAGGTTAAGGGTGCAGAGCAGCGCTGCTCAAAATGGGAAACTCTTGAAAGTGCCTCTGGCTAATCGTTGGTCACTCATTCCCCACTTCTGTACCCTTCCCCCCCAGACAGGTGCCCACTCTCCTGTGGCTTCCTGCCTACATCTTCACAGTGCCATCACTGGGACACCAAGATTCCTTACTTTGACCCTGCAGAGCAACGTAGCTCCTTTTCTGAATGAGCCACACCTGGACCTATCCACAAACCATCACCTTTCTTCACTTGCAAGTCCATGAAGAGTTTTCCCTCACCAAAGCGTCAAAATTTTCTGAAATAAATACTTACTTTCCCTGAAAATGCAGAAATGAGGCAGTGGACTTTTATAAAGCAAATTTTTTCTTCCTAAAATAGTCTGCCCTTAATAAAATCTTTGAGGTCCCCAAAAAAGTTCCAAGCCCACAGATTCTTTCTCCTAGTGCGATGATACGCAGAGGAGTGATCTCCAGAGCACGGCCCTGGTGCTTCTCCAGGTGCCTGCTGGAGGCAGAGGCTCCCCACCAGGGCCACTGCAGCAGGTTCCAGACCCTTCCTTCCGGAAAGCTTGGGTGTCCTCATGTTGAGGACAACACAGAAGTTCTTTAAGGTTCCACAAGAAGAATGGGAAGGTCAGACAGCTCAGCGTGTGGCAGAGGGAACCTCCTCACCGTGGAAACAGACCTTTAAGAGCACAGGGTGAAGATGCCACACTCAGAAGCGATGCAGATGCCGCTCTTTCAAAAACCACCCAACAAATCTGCATCCTGCTTCTTTCTGAACCACAGAACAAAAGAAAATCAATTCAGGTATTTCTCCAAATGCAGCACTGGAGCAGATGAGCACTGGCCACAGCTCTCCAACCTCCAGGAAAATATAAAGTAAGCCTTCTGAGGGGCACAGGAGGAAAAGAAGAGTCTCCTAAGAATGAGTAATTCACAATTGTAATTCAAAGAACTAAATAGAACGGCAACACTCATAAAACTGCAGGTTGAAGGAACAAAATCCAAGCACAGTCAAGCGCGATCTTACTGTGTGTGTACAATGTATGAACATAATGTACTGACAGAGGCAAAAAAAAAAAAGAGCAGTATTTTGAATAGATAGGTTGAAAAGTACCCAAATATAACACTGAATCAAATAAAGTATCATTGGAAGAACTGTATAAGACTTCATAATATGGAAATGAGGCAATAACCATCAGCCACAGAGCTAGAAATCAGACTCCATCAGGAAACAGAATGGAGTTTATAATTTGCATGGCTCCATTTTATAATGTCATTCAGGGGCTTCCCTCAGAAGCCTGTGATGACAGGTTTCTCTGCAGCAGGTCCAGCGAGGGCACTTGCACGTGCTCACAAGTCAAACTGCCAAGTCCAAGTTTCAAACAAAGTACAATTTCCCTACATCCAGGGAGATGATTTGCCAGGCTCACCTGGGACGCTCTGTGAAAGCACAAGTCTCCTGGGCCGCTCACCACGGCGGGCTGGTGTCACATGTACTCCTGGTTCTGCTTGGCATCACTTTGTTAATGCTCTGTTCATTAATTTAACAAACTATCAGGAGAATACGCCTGGAACGGGTAGCATTATCTCTCAACTTTCATTTAATTAAACTCTGCTAGTGCAATATGACAGTCAGCACATCAAGGGGGAATTATTTTAAGGATGAAGGTAAAAAGTATTCGAAGTCCCCACTTAAACATGGAAGCATAATCTAAAATTGCCAGAGAACACACTATAATTTTTCTATAATATTAAAAGATGTTATTTCCAGACTTGGTAATTAATTGGATTCCATAGAGAAATTATTCTAACTTCCTTGATACCAAAAGCATGCACAAAGCCAGGGAAGAGAGTGCCAAAGGACAGCCATAAACAGCCGTCCCCAGCTCAATGAGCAAGGCTGCCTGCACAGAAGGCACTCATGGCATTCCTGCCACACTGCCTGAATCCTGATCACCACGCTGGGTGAAAGGGGCAGGGCAGGTTCCTGGAAGGATTCACAGGGATGAGCCCCAGCAGGCTGGGTGCCACTGTGTCCTGTCCCACCAATGTCCAAGGCCACCTCCCAGAGCCTTCAACCAGGCCTCTTCCCACCCTCAAAGAGGGGCGGCTCAGGAAGCCAACTCACCGTCGATCCGGCTCACAAGTTCTTCCAACATCTTCACTTTCATTTGAATCCCAGGTTGGGCAAAGGTGTAGTTGTCCTAAGGAAAAAAAAATAATGTGTATCATGTGCATATAAAATAAAACTTGAGTTTCCAAAAAGGAAACAAGCAGTTGAAATAACTTGAGAGTAGTGAATGTTTCACAACCTCACCGATCCATAAGCCTCTAGATTTTAACCTGAGAAACAAGGACAGGAGTGCACACAGCAGCATGCCAGTGCCTCGAGGGAAAGCCCTCGCGCACACCTCAGGAATGTGGAATGGTGCACTGCTGTGTGTAAATGTAAGATATTTACATTTAAGTTGAACAAACAATTTAAATGTGTAGCTCATCCCTCTCCTGGACCTCCTTGGTACCTCCCTGGTACCAGAACAGCACACACTCTTCTGGTACCTCCCTGGTACCAGAACAGCACACACTCAGCCTGCCAGGGGCAACTTATGGATCTTCCCAAAAATTGAACTCTCAGAAGTGAGGGTGTCAGAGGCTCATGTCAATGTACAGGACTTCCAGGCCCTAAAGGGGCCTCATTCACTCCAGTGAGACCTCAGCATTCCACCAGCTGAGACAGAGTGGCAGCAAAAGGTAGGGGAAAATTATAAGCTTGAATGCATCTGAACCAAACAGGCATAAGAAATCTTGGTCCTGGACTTCAGTTCCTTTGAACATATCATTTTTTGCTCTGAACTTAGAAAGGTTAGCCTATTCTCCTAGGCAACTAGGTAACAGACCAAGGTTTATTTTTAAATCTGGGACACATTTATACAGTGTCATTTAACCTCATGGAGGAATTTCTAATGAGCTGGGTTGAACAGCACAGCTGGTAGAATTAAGGATGAGAAATAAACTAGAGAGTGGTTTGCACCCTCAGGTGTAGAGAGGCCCTGCAGATTATCTAATGTCCTGTTCTGACAAATTTCAGAGCCATCAGGAGCACACTCCAGCAGCCCACAACCTCCAGGGTTGTCCCAAAAGAACACCTGACGGAGCAGGTGCCTCACAGTAGACTACACTGAGCTAAAGCACTGTGCATCTCCTTGACTACCCAGCTAGCTGACCAGGGGCCTAATGGCTATGCAAACAGCAAGCTGAAGAAGCTGAGGGTGACTCTTCCCCCAGACCTGGGGTCTGCTTCCAATCGAAGGGAGCTTAGCTGGTAACTCTCCTGTCCTCTACCTCCAGAAGCACCTCTCCAAGGAGACAATCCACTACACCCAGGAACAAATGGCCTGGGTGCAGCCCCCCATTGAGTCTCAGAGTCAGCTACTCCCTGGAGGCTCTGCTGCACAGGAGGACAAAGGCCCAACTGGCTGGGAGGCGAGCCTGGACAGCTTTGGGACTCATTCAGCTGGATCACATTAGGATAGATCAAGCCACCTCATTCAGCAGGAATAAAGTTATTCTTTGGTCTCTCTCTCTCTCTTTTTTTTTTTTTTTTTCCAATTTGTTCAAACCCAGGGATGGAAAATGGGTTGTCGAAAATCCAAACAAAGAGAAAAGAACAACACCCAGAGTCTACAAAAAGAAAAAGGTTCCTATTTCAACAAGGCCTGCCAACACTACCAGGTACGCCCTGGCAATCTGACTGTAGGCTGCAGCAGGAAGACCACAGACGCGACCAGCTCCAAAAGCAAAGGCACATGCTTGGGAGAGCTGTACCTGGCAGGGTGAAGCACAGGCGCCTGGCTGGGCACTGGCTGGGCCTGCACTGGTGATTGAGCCCAAGATGCAGACTGCCTTGCCCAAGGGCCAGGAAGCCTTTAAGGGGCCCATCAAAGAGAGAGAACTAGAGCTGCAGATGCCAGAGCTACACAGCTACGCGAGGAGAAGGGCCTCTCAAGGGAAGCACTGGCCACACTGGCCTCCACCAAGGCCTCCAGGCAGACCAGGGGCTCACCTGGGGCACTCTCTCCCAGCAGCCCTCCACCCACCAGCACCCCAGGCCAGAAAAATAGCACTCGGAAAACATCTGCTGTGCGAGTATATGCACAGACAGCCAACGGAGAAAACCCAGGAGCTGAACACTGGCAGAAATGTCAAGGGTATAGACACTAATATCACTCCCTTCACAGAGGCAGCATGCATATTCTTTCAAACTGAGATCTTTATTTGGGGTCTTCTTTTAAAAGGGGGCAATTACAAAGCACTTCAGTTGGAGGGAAGGAAGCAGGTCTCTGGACTTGGCAGCCTTCTGCGCGATGCATTACAGAAATAACGCTGGCATCAGCAGACACAGCCCAAGGGGACCCCATGCACCTGCACCTGCTGCCCTCCAGTGAGCTGCCCTAGCCACAGCAATAGCACTTCCCGACTCTTCAGAAGAACAAACCTTCCCAAGAGAGCATTTTTCCCATATATATATATACACACACATATATACATATACACACACATACACACACATACACACACACACATATATTTTTTTTTTGTATTGTCCCAAGAGAGCATTTTTAGGAGAGTGGACGTAAGCCTCCTGGTCAGCTCAGCTGGAAGGATCCAAAGCACCCCCTGCTAGACCTGCAGCTCATAGTCAACATCTCTGACAAAGCATCTCCCACCTGCACCAGAGAGCCACCTCCCCACAGCCTCCAATGCCCTTCCTGGCCAACCTCACCTGACGGCAATCTGTTCACTGAACACTTACTGATGTCTCCTATGTGCCAGAAAATTAAGTCCCGAGTATCAATGCTTTGGAAAGTACTGGAATCACCAGGCCTGGGTGCTGCCCCTGCACAGTATGCAGCCAGCCGGTCCCTGTCTGGCATCTGGAAACCTGGACAGGGTGGGTCTCAGCACTCCCTAACCAAGAGTGGCTCGCTGTGCCTAACCAAACAGTGTGGCAACAAACAGTGCCTGCTTGACTTCTGGGAGTCTGGAATTTGGGTGCACATCAGGCAGAGTCCCCAGTAATACTTGAGCCCTTCCTTTGTGTTGTCATGGCCCACAGATGGGGTAATTAAGCATGTCCTCTGTGGCTCCACAGGGAAGGACTTCAGAGGTCCTGGTTTCCACTGGACTCCATCCTACTCCCTCTCTTTCAGCTGTGAGTATAGCTCAGCTGATCCTGTGAGCCACCACACCAGGCTGGGTCTGGGGTCCTGACATAGCAGGGAGAAATACGGGCAAAGTAACTTCCATTCCCAGAGCTGGCAATCTACGGCTAAGCAAACACCCATCACACACGTCACACAGCACACGTGTGGAACTAACTGTGCTCCGGGCACCTTGCTGTATGGTACAGAATTCGACTGACCTGGAAGACCACTCTGAGGATACGGGCCCTGGGCTGAGCTGAGAATGGTGGTTCTGAGTGAGCAGGCAAAGAAGAGAGCACCGTATGGCAGTACCACAAGGGCCCTTGGGAGCACAGCACATTCAGGGAGGGAGGAAGGCCCAGCAGCCAAGGGCCCATCCAGAAGCCAGGAAAGGCAAGAGAAAGCCACTCAGCTGGTAAGAAAGATGCAAAGCCATCAATGAGGTTAACGAGGTGGAAATGGGGGGCAAGCACCATGGTTACAGGATTTGTATCTGAAAAGACGCTCTGGCTGCACAGTATAGAAACTGCAGAAAAGGACCAAAGAAGATGGGGACATTGGTCATGAAACAACTGCTGTAACCGAGGTAGAAAGACGGTAAGAACACGGCACTAGCTGAAGGTGTACCCAAATTGTCCAAGCCATTTCCTTCTGACCTAGGCTAGAGGGGTTTCTGAACTTGAATGTAGGACTTCACATTTATTCCTATTAGGTGTTCAGTAGATTGGTTCTCGGCTGGCATTCTGGGTAGCTAAACTCAATCTGAATCCTGATCATGTCATCTATCACATTAGCTGTCCCTCCAAGTGTGTTGGCTACACTGATACTGGCAATGTCTTCATTGTAGTCTCTGAGAAGAGGGAAGGACAAGGACAGGGCCCTGTAACACACCTCTCAGAGGCCACAAGCAGAGCAGAGATACAGTATACACACAGCCTGGTTTCACTCCTGGCTTTTCCTGCTAGCTTAATTTCTCAGATTTTCTGTTTCTCATCTGTACACTGAAAAGAGAAATGCTCTTGCCAAAGGCACTGGGGTATTAGATGAGTGACTGTTTCTAAAAGGACCTCCGACAGTGTCTGCCCCTAGTGTGCCCCAAGCTCCTGTCCTAACTCCCATGCTGGTGCTGGACACGGTACAGCAGTTAGGACTGAGGGCTCCAGGGCCCATGACAGAGCAGCCAGTACTCCTGCTGCAGACGACCTCAGAGGCAGGCAGGCAGGCAGGCAGGCCACACACCTGTGTGCAGACCCAGGGTGACCGGGGCACAGAGTCGGCTAACAGTGCCCGAGGGCTGTCTGTCATGGAATGCATGTCCTGGTCCGTGCCTGCAGTGTGGCCCAGGGTGTGCCCCACAGAACATGGCTGAGCCCGGCATAGAGAAGACTGTGCCAGGGGCTTTGAGGCAGAGATAGGAGGGAGGACAATTCACTCAGCTTGGTGGCCCACGTGACCCGCTGAGGCAGGTGGGGACACTGAGCAGGCTGGTCAGGAGCTACGGTGACACCTGGGTGAGGGTGAAGCCACCACTAGAAGAGCAGCCAGCCAGTGGGCCAATGTGGACATGGACTCAAGAGAAGCCAGCCTGGAAAGGTGACATGCTGGGGGACTGCACCCAAGCACATTCTGAAAAGCCCAAACTGTGGAGACTGGGGGTTGACGGGGTTGAAGGAGAGGGAATGAGGGATGCACGGGGAGGGTACACAGGGAAGCCGCAGAGCCACAAAACAACTCTAGGTGACACTGCCATAGTGGGCCTATGTCAACAGATATTTGTCAAAACCCACAGAATGTACACAAATTAAGAGACTAAAATTAATCTTAATTAAGAAATTCATGATGGTGGACTACAGGAAGGCTGCGTTCCAGTCAGGACTCAGCAGCAGGAGCTCTGCCTTCACCGAGGGGTCAAAGGGGATTCACTGAGATTCCGTGCTGGACACTCAGAGACTCTTAGGGACTCAGAAATCTGGGTACACTGAACAAAGGACAGGAGTACA